AAAATTTTGCCAAAAAAAATAATATATACATTTATCACAAAAGTTTAATAAAAAAATATTATTATTTCAATACTAATCAATTTTGATTAAAATTAATCAGTCCAAACTAATCTTAAGTTTTATTGAGCTTCATATGTTTTATAGAGTAAAAATTTATTTTTTTAAATATTTCTCATCGATGTGAGATATATTTATAGTGCAAAACTTTATTCTTTTATGTGTTTTTTATTGACGTAGATGCATTAATTAGAGAAAATTAATAATTTTTAGTGACGAAATATATTTTTAGTGATGAATTATTTGGTCATTATTGAATGTGTAAGGTATATATAACTAATATTAGAATTCTGTCATAATTATAATGTATTATAATGATGATTTTTATTGACAAAAATTTATTTTATTTTTATGAACATTTTTTTGTGACGAAATATATTTTTTATAATGAATTTTTTTATTTATTATTAAATATGTATGCATCTGTAACTAATTTTTTAGATTTGTCACAATTACAATAAGTTATTGTCACAATAAGTTATAGTGATGATTTTAAAATTCATCATAAATTTTTGTCACTAAAAACTATTTTTCTTGTAATGTTTCTAAACTCATGCACTCACGCTGTTTTTCTCACAAATTTTTTAATATCTATAGTTAAAGTTCTATTCGTTAATTTTTACATATTTTAACTTTAATTTTTTAAAAATAATTCGAAAAATACATTTTTTATTTTAATTTTATATATTTAAAAAAATTAACTAACGACCTATTAATCTAAATTAAAGGAATTCGGTTTTCTTTAAGTAATATATCGAATTCAAATTTTATGAATGAAAAAACAAATATTGTAAAAACTTTTTCTTAATGAGATTCGACGCAGTTTAATTTTAGATTAATTGAGATTTAACATGATTATCAAATACAAAAATGTTAATAAAAAATACAAAAAAATACATTTAAAAAATTAAATTTATTTACATAGTGACCTACAAAAACTTAAATTTTGGGCTTGACATTTTCTCTCATAATTAACATTTTTAATCAAATAATCTAAGATTTGTGGGGCATTTTTTCCAGTAAGGGAATGGATTTCTCAATATTTAATATCTGATTTTTTATTTTTTATTTTTTAAACAGTTTTATCATAGGATGGATTTGAAACCCGCCTAGGGAAAGAGATGTGCATTTTTCAGTGGCTCTAACAACTGGACCACACAGCCAAGTGCAATATTTAATATCTGATTAAATCGCCTTTTTCTCCAAAAGATATATGTACATATATATAATATTTATATATTGATTGTTCAAAAAAAAAAAATATTTATATATTGAACATCTGGTTCGTACCTACCTGCTACAAATTAGAGCTTTGAGGCTGTGAGATGAATAGGGTGTGGCGGGTGGGTCCAGGACTCCCCCTATTATATTCTCACACCCATGTGAGATGAAATGAATAAAAATCTGGCACTACTGCATTAATCCTAACTCCTAAGTCCTAGCCCCTCTAATGAGACATTTTTCATTTCTATTCATCATTTTCAGACAAGATTGTCCTTTTAACTTTTCTGGATTGCTTGCTGCGAGTTTATTTATTTATTCAGTTTTTTCAAATATTAGTTGATTTATTTATTTTTTTAAAAACAGAATTACATTGTTGGGGCGATGGAGAGTAGAAAGAAGGATTCAAACTTGAGTTTAGTGAGCAGTGCCTTGTGGAAAGCAATCAATTATTCTATCCAAAGCTCTTTAGTTTGATTCGTAAGAGGATAGTTAATAGGTATGTTTATTTATTTTCTTTTAAACAAAGTTACATTGTGGGAACGATGAGGAACAGGAAGAATTTGAGTTTAACGGGAAGCATCTTATAAGAAGTAATATAAGATGTAAT